TTTATGATTAGGATCCTAGAACATAAATTTGGTAAACTAAAAAAAGGAACTACAACGGAGACTATAAACCCTAAACCCCAAACCCAATAGCCTATAACCCTAAGCCCAAAAGCCCTAAGCCATCCCTAAGCCCTATACACCCTAAACCCTAAATCCGAAAGCCCTAAACCCAAAAGCCCCAAACCCTAAACCCTAAACCCAATGTTGGTAGGAATCTAAAAAAAACACAGAGCCTCTCCTGGGGCCTAGGGTTTAGGAAGCTGGCTCAGGAACCTCTGCTGCTACGGCTCAGGGTTTAGGGTCTAGGGTTTAGGGGTTTAGGGCTTAGGGGTTTAGGGGTTTATGGTTTAGGGATTAGGGTCTAGGGTTTAGGGAGGAATATACCATAATTCCCACAGCTTGGGTCCTTAAGATAATGCAGGATTCATATCATCAACAGGAGGAGTTGTAGGGGGGGGGGGACACTTTCCCAAATCATACTACTCATCCCTTATATAGAAACCCTATATACATTCTACCGTAGGTACTTTGGAACCCTTAAAGGAGCCCGTAAACGAACCTCCATTATAATATGAATATATATATATATATATATATGTATGTTATATATATATATATATATACATACATATATATATATATATGTTAGATATGTATTTATATATATATATATGTATATACTTAGGACCCTTTGGGACTGGGCCTCTTGGCTTTTCGGAGTGTTACAAGTGCTTCAAGGCTTCTTTTCAAATTCGGGGTTGTATAGGGGTTATGGGCTAGATTCTTGAGGATCGTTAAGACCTTGTAAGCCCTATGGCCCTATAAGCACGCAACCCTAACTCTAATCCCGAAGCCCTAAACCTTAAACTCTAACGGCCCTAAACCTTAAACCCTAAACTCTAAACCCTCTCTCGGGAGATGCCTTCGCGAAGCCCACGACCTGCGCAAGAGCGAATCACTGGAAGGGTGGTTAAAAGTCCGTGTGGAGACGGAAAACGGTTCAGGGTTCATTGGGGGTTTTGGGTTTTTGGTTCATGGGGTTGTGTTGCAGTATGTATACAAAGGAGAAAGGTTTGTGTGAAGGGTTCATGGAGGTATGTTACAGTCTAGATTGGGGACTATACAAAGGAATATCACAGGCCCTGACATCGTCCGGGCTGGAGGGGCCTTCAGGGGGGGGACAGGTAGAACACCTTCTATGGGCCACCACGGCAATTCCCACATTTTTCTGCGAATCGCGGTGATATGAACTAACCTCGCAGTCTGCAGCTCTTCCCCATGCTGGCTTTCGACATGGACACCGTATAGAACCATATAAAACCTAATGGCCTGATTTTCGAAGCCGTTCTTCTGATCGCCTGAACCTTTGACACCAGTATCGGCAGCTGCACAGCCAGCAAGCCAAACATAAGCCGCCTGGCATCAGACCCTCAGCGGAACTGAACCCGGACTCAACCCCTTGTCCTGTGAAAGAGCGCTTTCAAGGCTCAGGCCGGAATGACCTTCACAGACACCCGTCCAGACATGACTGTGTACAGCAGGCGATGCTTCAGCAACAGTGGGCAAACACGCTTGAAGACGATAGGTGTGGTAATGACCCTGCTATTTCTCATCAAGGGCCACACTAACTTGAGACAGCCGGCACTCCTCGAAAGTAAGCTTCGCGACAAGCACATTTAAGTTTGGGACTCGGCTTAACGCATAAGCGAATTCAGCCGGATCGAAAACTAGCGAGGAAGCCTCACCTTGCGAAGGTGACCATCCGGTGTTGGACCGCGTGTGCGATGGAGCTTGCTTTTTCAAGTCCACGCCTCCGAGTTCCGAGCTTTGCTCGAATCACTAATTCCTTGAAGCCTTTGTACATGCATCACTGTTTATGTCGGAGCTGAAGCACTTCAGTGATGCTTCTGGTAGAGTTATAACACATGGCCACGCTGACTTGAGACAGCCTGCAGCCTTCGGGATGTAGCTTCACGTCAAAAGAAGCGCCTGTTTGGGAACCGGCTTATCGCATCCCAGTTTGTGCAGCCGGCACGAAAAATCAGCCGCTGAGCCTCACAGTGAGAAGTCAGAACGTCAGCATCCGAAACACTAATCACGGAATGCTCGCTGCTTTGTGTGTTTGCATCACCGCGGGGCTGAGGCAGTAGTGGTATGACCCCGGTATTGTAAACCAAGGGCCGCGCTAGCTTGAGACAGCCAGCATCTTTCGGATGAAGCTTCGCAAAAACCAAATTGCATGTTGGGGACTCGGCTTAACGCATAAAGTCAATTCAGCCCGATCGAAAATTAGCGAGGAAGCCTCACAGTGAGAAGTCACAATCCGGTGTTGGACCCCGCTTGCTGTACCAGGTCCATATCTCCGAGCTCCGAGATCTTAGAGGAATCTCCTATCGATTGCTGCGTCTTGCACGTGTATCGATATATCTTCAGATCAGTGCTGATGCTCTAAATAAAGCCTACCTGGTCCTACCTGATGGAAAATGCGGAGCTTGTCATCCCCCAGGCCCAGCGATTCTATACGGGCCTAGATAATTACCTATCATATTTTGGGTGTTCCTTATTCTGATTATAGAATAGTATAGCCCAAAACCCTATTCTAATTATTAAGGCCCCTACGGAAGCACCTTTATATTACAGTACCTTCGATATCATGCTTGTCACCCTTGCCCTCTACATGTAATGATTCCGCGGCTTTGACTAATTAGCACTATCACCGCTGGTGTGAATTTACTCGAATATCTTCTCTATCTACATGTCTCTTTATCGTTTCTAGCCGCGCACCTCATCCACAGAAAAACGGAGGGTACATGACAACACCAACACAAGTTCCAGGCCCCAAGCGCGAAACCTAACCTGCAGCGATAAGCAAAGGCATATCGCCGCTTTTTGAAGAACTGGAAACGAGTGAAGCCGGGCTCTGACGGACTGCTGCTACTACTGCTACTACTACTCGTTCTACTCCTACCAGTACCTCCTACTACGACGACGACTACTACTACTACTACTACTACTACTACTACTCCTACTACTCCTGTGGCTGCTGCCGCTACTACTACGACGACGCCGACGACGACGACGTGCGCCATTGACTCGCGGCCTGACTTTTTCTAGGTGAGAGCTTGGGCTGGTGCTCTTGTTTTAGGCACAACATGCGAAGCCTGGTTGGCAGAATCATGCTGGATGACCATGAATTTGAAACTTGCCGTGATCATGACCTGATGCATGCTGGTACAAGAATGACAACAATGACTAATTATTGAGGTTGAGCCGACGAACTCCCCAGCTTGACTTTCAATATCGAGACAACGACCAACGACGACGACTACTACCATTGCTGCTCCAACTGTTGCTGCTACAACCATCACCACGACAACAGCTACGGCTACTAAGTCATAGTAATCACCAGTAACATCCGTGCTTGAGGCTGTGACTTCCGATAACTGTTGCCAACTACTGCTGTTCACAATTCTACTACTGCTATGATCGCTGCTAGAATCGCCGATGCCACGGATGGCTATCTAGTAGCGTTACTACTGTGACTCGCAAACTCAACCTCTGCCACTTGTGATAAGCTAGGGTTTAGGGCTTATAGGGTTTGTGACGCAGTACTATAGTTACTACTATTGGCGCATATTCTTGCGATTGCTCATATCATGGCTATTGACATTTCTAGCATTCCCACTAGTAGTATCACCATTGCCGGTTGTGCCGTGTCGCGGACTGCCATGGCAAACATAGGCACGAATATTCGTCCCGTCACTGTGACGAAAGTAGGGGCCTTAACACCTGGAGCAGTCTCTCGGGGCATGGATCATAAGCAGATAGCAATCAATACGGCGATGTTGTTTCTACTGCACCACGACCAGTATGAGACTATCACAGCCGATGCAAGCAGTGAAAGAGTAGTGTCCGAGCAGTCGCAGCTGCAATCGATCTTATCGTCGTCATCTCTTCTGTAGTCGTCTTAGCCATAGCAACAAAGACTCTAAGCTATCTTGGAAGCCCGCTGTTGCTGCTAGAGTAGAGGCACACGGAAGGGTCCAACACCATGCTTGCAGTAGGTAAGCCTGTGTTGTTGCCTGCAGCGAACATCCGGTGGCCTCCGCTCGGAGCCTCCGAACCCTGGTGATACAATCCGACTTGCCCCACCCTCTGCCCACCCCCCACCCCACTGACTCTGCTACTGTACAGATCTTCGGTCTCACGGAAAAACTCTCTGGCAGAGCGGCCCGAGGAAGACTCCCAGTTTCTCTGCCAAGTGGGAGTCGCAGGAGATCGGTACGAGAGCTTTCTTCTACCCCTGACGGCGGAAGACGGCAAAGACACCCAAAGTCGGTTTTGAGGAGTCTGAACAAGCCTTGAACAGTAGACGGTCCCAAACACAGCTCTTTTGTCAGAGGAATCACACAAAATTTGGCCCCGAAAGGTGTCAGGGAGTCGGGGCGCGCTCCTTCTTACACAAGACATGCACTTCGAAGGAGGAGTGTTGAAGCCATTGAAAGCTGTGAATCTTCACGAGAACTCCGACATGGTCCTGGGACCAATATAGGGGCCTTAATAATTAGAATAGGGTTTCGGGGCCCATTATGCTATAATTATAATCAGGAACCCCAAAAATATAATATAGGTACTTATTCAGGCCCCTATATTAGTGGCAAGCTCATCCGGAGTTTTGCCGGCCACACTGGCATCAGAACTCTCCCCTACATGATTTCCGATCGAATCCAGCATCTGTGCTGTTTGTCCGGCCTGAAATCGGAGTGCCAACCATGATATTCCAAAAAGCATCGCTGCACCTGTCGCGACTCAAAAACTATGAGTTACGTATAGCGCGTTGGATTTGTATTCTAATCAGTAGAAATAGACATGCCTGCCAAGATATGCCCAGCAACCGCCCATCCAGAGACATGCAGAAAACACATCAGCCATGAGCCATGCAGACCAATTGCCCAGGAAAGATAGCCTTGGGTACACTTTTTCCTAGTATTCGGTGTTGATCAGTGGCACCAAAAAGAAAATGGGCAAAAGGGTACCACTGGGGAACCTGGTAGCAAGGTAACCACAAGGGCCACCACAACGCTTTTTAGCCTGTCCTGCCACACGCCGCTCTGCTCTGCGCGAAAATATTTGGCCAAAAGCAATCCCACCTGAAAGACGGTTGGAAGCAGAAGGAAACACCAAGTCAGGCCGGCTAAGAACATAACTGCCGCCATCTGCCAGTTTCCGGCGCGTCCACGTGCCGCGATGAGATCCGCGAAGCCCCAGAAAAGAGGCAAGGCACCAATGAGTTGCCACCGATACGGGAACAACAATCCACCCAACTGACGGTATAGCATGTTCCTGACATGCGTTCTTACCGTCCTCTCGAAGGCCTCGACAGACCCATACCAGATTCGAATGCATCGGGTGATGACTGCACGATCACAGACTCCGGCGTTACACGATTCTTCGCCATTGCAGCAATGGCAGTGTGCTCCTTGGACAGTAAAGTCGGCAAGCTGCTTGAGCATAATCTCCGTGTTCCGGTAATGCTCACGCAAGTAAGATGCGGAAATGTAGAAAAAGAGCCACCGTGACAGCACGAGTGCCACCGTTTCGACAGGAGTGTGCTCTTCAACCAAAATCCAGTGTAGCACAGAAGCCCACATGCCCAGCCCAAGACCCAAAATGCAAGGAGCCATGGCCGTCAACCTGACAGTAACTTTATCATGTGGCCTTTCATGACTTGTCAAGAATGCTGCGAGCTCTAACAGGCACCATAATCGCGAAGCGTAAGTGCTGTCCCATACGAGCAGAAACTGCTCGGAGTTTTTCAGGAAGGCGCCAATGCTCAGGATTCCATTGTCTTTCAGCTCTGCATCCGTCTGGTGGATACCTGGCTTGGCCCTTGGAAGCCTCTGAAATATAGCCTCTGAAACATATTCGTAAAGAAGATCCTGAAAAGCCCAAAAAAGGGGAGCTACAAAAAAAGGTGCCAAAGGCCTACCTAGATACATACTCGGTCAAAGAAGACCAATCTACTGGATCTCCACAGCACGAGGACGACTGCGAAAACCACCCCTGCCGTCAGCATACACCAGGGCGCGAAGACCAACTCCATTCCTCGATCGAATGGTAATGTGAAAGCTCGCGAGAGGCCTGGTAGTACTCCCGCGATGTGCAGACACATCATCAGCAAAGCTGCGACGGTGGCGGCCATGGCTGCGGCAGGCCCATTGTATAGCAAAATCAAGAGCAGCCTCTTCGTGTAGCTGTTGCCATGCCAGCTGTGGCTCCAGAAAACTTGGATGGAACTCACTGGAAAGCTCCACTCATACAGATCCTGGTTGGTTCCTCTCAACGCAGCTCCGAAGGATTGCAGCACTAGCCAGGCGGGAGTTGCCCTGAGGATGCTGGGATCGATAGGCTCCATCCTGGCCACAAGGCTGGCAACGTGGGCGACCGTAGGGTCTTCAGTGCCGCTAAGGACGAGCTCTGGCACAACTTCCTCGGCAGATGCCATGGCGTCTGGGGAAGTGACCATGAGACTTGTGATGCAGGGCTCTTTCTGCAGGTAGTTGGTGCGGCCTTTGGGCCTCTGAGGCCCTACATCTTGGGGCTCCATGTTAAAAAGTTTTTTCTAAGCATCTATTACATCTATTGATACTTCCTGCCGAAGGTGGGTTTTCAGTGCTACAGGCGTCCCTGACGTCCTGCATGTTCCGAAGGGGACATTCGAGAGCAAGCTCTTGTTTTCAGCACCATGGTCGTATTCTCTAAACCCCCAAAAACAAGCTGAATCAAGATCTGCAAAGCCCCCCTAAGCCATGAACCATAGAGCTTTCGACCACGAAGTCACTGAGCTTGGGCGGCCGTTGCAAGCCGAGGTGACGTCGCAGTGCCTTGATCATGTGGGTAGTACCCCTGGACCTACCAGGCAGTCGTTGACAAACCCTGATTAAACCCTATAGAGACTAGCTCAGAACCGAGCTCTCACGTGGCAAGATCTTTAAACCCTGAGCTTGCACGCCCCCCAATAGTTGATGTCCGAAACTGCTATAATGAATCGTGCACGCTAACCCCCTCACCATCAACTTTTCCGTAGACCCCAAACTCCAAAAAATCCCGAGCTAAAGAACGAACCCTTCGCCCTAAACCCTGCCTAGGCTGGGGTGTTGGGGTGTACTGTGGGAGAAAGGTTCAATGGGAATGCTGATTGCAGTTGTTCGCAAACCCCTCTATCAACGCAAATAAGCTAGCAATGCCGAACGCTTAAACGAAACAACAATTTCTGCCACCCCACCACATAAAGACAGACATCTGGCCTGCAGCACCAGGTAGCACAGCGCCGACCTGAAGTGGAGCTGAAATAATATAGGGGCCTAAATACCTACCTGTATATATATATATATATATACACAAGTGCGGAGGTTCTTGATTACAGCTATAAGTATACTATAGTATACCACATAAACCTATTCTAATCATGAAGGCCGTTACATTACCCGGTTTCGGAGTAGGGTCTCCCAATTGCGGGGTGTAAGTCTCGGGGATTCGGCTTGATGGGGATTCGGAAAGCACTTCCATGGCATCGACAGGAAATCGCCGGTAATCGACCAATGAGGAGCAGGAGCTTCTTTGCTATCCAGTCCTAGCTAGAGACGTCGAACAGCCAGGATGCCAGGGGGCCCGAAATCCCTGTGGCCGACTTGGAAAGTCCACTGGAGCTTTCAGCCGCCGAAAGGGCTGAGCGTGGAGGATCCCGGGTTATGACCTTATAGGGTTCAGGATTCCGGGTGTGCGTTCGGAAATGCGGCTCTTAGCCCTTGATTCCTTTCTGCATGGACGCTCTTCCGGGTTCGCTGTGTCACTTCGGCACAACCCCCCACCCCCGAATCCTGGTTCCTATGCTTTCTTTGCAAAACCCTAAGGGTCCGTGTACCTAAATAGTATATACTTTGGCCTTAATGCAATTAGTCCCTGTAGAAGTACTTTGGGGCCAATGTATATATATATATATATATTTATTTATTTATTTATTTATTTATTATTTGGGTACATGGACCCTTAGAGAAAAGCATTCCTGCCGGGCTTGGGGTTGCGGGGTCCTGAGTACTGCTCTCTCTACTCAGATGTGCTGAGACACCTCCAAGCTGGGAGCCCCAAAGCTGCAGCATCCCCCTGTAACCAAGAGCCTTGAGCCAGATATTTGGGGGCTCGAAAGTATATACTATACTATACTATACTATAGTGTGCTATACTATACTATGCTATACTGAACTTAAAACATTTACACCCTTATTCTAAGACAGCTTCTGACCTGCCTAACACTGTGCTCGCACTTTTGCATAACACCTTTACAGTGCCCCCGCCTGAATGGAACCTTACTAACAGGAAGGCTTCTTGGCACCGCCTGCCCCTGCATTGGTGAGGTGCAGATCCTGATTTCCGACGAGTCCCATAACCTGAACCCTATATGTTCTACACTACTCACTACTCACTCCAAAGAAAAGGTAAGAAACGTACAAACTTGAGATCACCACAAGAAATCATACTTCAACAACCAAAGAACAAGACAAAAGTACCACGAGTCCTAAAGTTTGGAGAGTTCGGGTCTCGGGGCTTCTATCCAAAGACCAAAGGCGAGACGCAGCGTACTCCGCCACAACGGTGCCACCCCGCGACGCCCACAAGTGCGTAACGGCCTTTGGTGCAAGTGGTCAGGAGAAGGGTCAAAAATGCCTGCACAGGACCCCATGCTTCAGCCTTTCTACAAGAGAAGCAACTACAACGAAACTGAGGAAATGGCTAATATCTAGTTAATGCAGTTGAGGGTTGACTTGCTGGCTTCAGGTTGTTGAACAGGTCCACACGCTCTATACATGTCGATAACGTTCCCCGTGCAACCAGAAGGTACTTGGGTCAGAGTGCAATCGTCTTGAGCCCTTGGACGCATAAAGTGTCCAGTACGGCCAAACTTCACTACGGGTAGAAGTCTATGAAGCGTCTCCGCCAAACATTTACCATTGCTCTTCTATTGAAAGCATACCACAACGATTTAGCCTCATTTCTGTTCCATGCGTTTTCGTTCTACTTCTTCATCGATGCTAGGACTACTGCATTGTTGTTGTTGTTGCTGTTGTTGCTGCTGCTTTCATAACCTGTCATGCTTATAACTCCAGATGCCATGGTGTTCCCTAATGGCCTCCACTCCGCGATCCTCGGCCCAAAACCGACCCTGAACTCCAAACCTTAAGACCTAAACCCCAAAGACCAAAGCCTAGTCTCGGACGTCAGAAACCCTAAACCTTAAACACTCATCCTACACCATGAGCCATCTTCATAATAAAGCCCCACACCCCAAACCCCTGAACCCATATCCTCAACCCTAAACTCCAACTGTAGACGCTTAGCCCTAACCCCCAAACCCTAAATCCTCAAACGTTATGCCTCGCCTCGGCCACCTCCTCCACATCCACGGCTTCACATGGCGACAGACCCCCCGAGAGGGGCTCCTGGGAAGATCACGACAGACGGGTTTAGGGTGTAGGGGCCTGGTGTTTAGGGTTAGGGTGTAGGGGTTTGCGGGTTTAGGGTTAAGGGCTTTAGGGGTTTAGGGTTCTAGGGTGTAGGGCTTTGGTGTTTAGGTTCTAGGTTTAGGAGTTTGGAGTTTGGAGTTTAGGGTTTAGGGTTTAGGTTTAGGAGTTTGGAGTTTAAAAGTTTAGGGTTTAGGGTTTAGGTTTTGGTTTGTTCGGTGTGGTTGCTTCACTTTTAAGGAGTTGGCGCCTTTTGGGTTTACGCCTTCTAGGGTAAGGGCACTGATGTGTGCAACGAGAGCATCTTAAAAGATTTGACAGGATGCTGTTCTTTAACTAAGCCCTAAACCATATGTAATGCGACTTCTAAGCCCTAAACCCTATGTATTGCGACTTCTAAACCCTAAACCATATGTCATGCGACCTCCAAGCCCGAGACCACATGTAATGCGACCTCGGCGGCGTCACAAGCTTGCAAGGCACCATCAATCCTCGAAGCCACGCCGTGCACAAAGCACCGCAGACCAAGACTTTCCTAAACCCTAGAGTTTAGGGTTTGGGTTTAGGGATTTATGTTTAGGGCAAAGTTTAGGGCTTACTACACCTTAACTCCGAAACTCAAAAGACAGAGCCCTGCACAACAACAGAAACTCTTGTGTTCAGCCCTAAGCCCCCATGAAGTCCGAACGAAACCTCGGCCCTAAACCCGTAAGACTCTAAATCATAACGCATTCTTTCAAGGTCCACACAGCCCGAACTCGGAAAAGTGGGCCTGAACCCGAAGCAAGACAGACATCCTCAAGCTGAATCCCGATCAAAATACACTACTTAAACCCTGAACCCTCAAGCTGCACCCTGAACCCCAGCCCGGCATTGAAGGAAACAGAGAAAGCCATCAACACCCCCGGAGAGACCCCAACAACTCCCCCCCCCCCCNNCCCCCCCCCCCCCCCGCCCCCAACATCAAAACAACAGAACCCAACCGAACTTATCGGGAGCCAGCGCCTTGTCGTGAGTGGCGTTGCAGAAGAGCCTGCTCTTACAGTCTAAAGGGATCCCTGTGTTGAGGGATGCGATTTAGGCTCAGGATACAGCGAAGGCAGCTAGGGGTTAAAGCTGCTGAGGGTCAAGATTTAGGCTTTCAGGGTGTGGTCAAGTTTCGTCTTTGGTTCCGCGGGGCTTCGGCTTGGGATATTGACCTATGCACCCTTTCATGGCCCACATCGACTCCGCACAGTGTCCCGTGTCTTTGGTACGCATGCAACGTTGGCTTCAGTTTTTTTGCGAGAACCTGCATAAACGACATTGCACTACGTTCCAGCCCTCGCTTCTGAGGTTCGCCGGCCTTGTCAATATAGTCAGTGACAGCAAACGAATGTTACACTGTGTGTACGTGTATATATATATATA